GTCTGTAGTTTTGCGGAAATGACAAATGATATTGCTCATAAATATATAGTTTTTGCCGCACTGCTTAACTTTCACCTAATCAGCATTTTTCCATGATTCCGATGTTATAATCTTGATCTTGTGTCACTCCATTCAGTGATAATGACCTTGGTATGTATGCGGCAGAGCTCGGAAACCAGGTTCGAGATTTCGAAATAAGATTTATTGCTTTATTAGAATTTTTGTTGAAATAAATGCCATGTCAGATGCTCCTATATATGGATATAGAAAATTCGGTTTGGCAAATGATAGACCAAGAAATCAAGGTTCACCAAAATCTAGTTCTATTCATTTCTGCTAAGAACTTCAATACAGGATGTAAGTTGGTTGAAATTTATTATTGGTCATATCTCTTGTAGTATCCTGAGGAAACCCTTACAGCTTGTTAAGGAAATTTTAGAATGTGGATTTTTTTTTATCAAGTTGCGGATCCCTGGTCAACGGTATGCAAGATTGCCACTGTGTGCGTTCCAAGTTCCAAGCCAAGTCCAGTTGACGATCTCGTAGTTGAACATTTAGCACGTGTCTCCTTTGTGAAAAAAAGGCGTGGTCGCGCTTCTTATTTACATGAGAGCACCTCAATTAGCGAACACACTCATATCATCCTTCCAGAGTCATTGCACTCTTACTACGTCTCTAACAGCAGTTACATACCTTTCGGTTAGGTTAGTCTTGGTCGTCATTGTGCTACGCCATTCATGGGAAGAAAAACTAAACTATATGTTTTGTTTGGAACAACAAATAATTAGAATAAAATTATAATACAGGCAAATTATCGAACCTTCATCGTATATTTTTAGTCTGTTTGTGTCCTTGCCAATGTCATAAGTAGTGAAGTTAACGAGTCAAAATAAAATGAATGTAACTTAATATTATGATTTCCTAATGAATTAAAATTGTGATTCATATAAGCTGACGAAATAATTCAATAGGCTGCAAAAATAATGCTAATTTTTAACTTCCCGTAGGGCAAGTTATAGTAATCGCAAAAAAATCGAAAATGTAAATTTTTATATATCTTTACGTTTCAAAACCTTCTGGACATTTTGGCATACCTTAGAAAAAAAGGATATATGTGTGTGTGTGTGTGTGCGTGTGTGTATGTATTTGCGGATACAAATTTTCGTCGACGATTTCAGGAGACGCGCTGATTAGTTTTTGGCAAAGACAGGTCTAGCCGTTCCGAAGATACGGGGCAAAAAGTGCCAAAAACGGTAACTCAGTTTTTAAGAGAACGGATCGTCTGATTTGAATAATTCAAAGAACATTTTATTTGCATTAACTGAGTGAAGAACTGTTCAAAGGAATGTGCAACGACTTCAGAGATATGAAGGAAAAAGTAAAAAAATGAGCCATTTGGCGGTCAAAAATAAACATTAGGCATATGCACATCAAATAATTAGATATTTTATAGAGTTTTTATCAATAAGTATAAATTTTGTTTGCATTCCTATGGGTTCCGTACCAATTTACGCGTTAGACGGCGACGCGGCGCTTACGCGCTTCGATATTTCGTCTTCATGCAGTTAAAGCAGTACGATTGCTTCGAAAAAAAGTTCAGAATTTCCAAAATATTTCAAAATAAATGATTTAAGATAGAATGATTTAAGATGATTTAATATGGTTCGAAATTCTATTAAAAGTTTCAAATCATTGATCAAATTTTGTTGATTATTATTGATTATTTTTAATTACTCGAAATTTGAATTGCGGTACGGGAAGTTCCAGCAATTTGCCTTAAGGCACGATGCCTTAATTGCCTTAAGACAGAATTTCACTTACAGCTAGTTTTATTATTTTTTCAACAGAACACACTATGATCAAACAATTCCAATAGGATGACCATGACCTCATCTTTATTAATTAATCACAGCATTAATTAATACAACTATTGATTAATTATTGCACCAACTATACTCTGCTAACAAATTGTAAATTTTCAGTAAAAAAATCTATAAAAATAACAATGGATAATTAGTTTTTGGACAAAACAGTACCCAACCCTAATCGAGATCCCCAAATATTATATTTTCAAATTTTAAGTAATTTTTTGGTGCCACTCTGGTTTGAGATTTTTTCGGAGACTTAATCTGGGTTATAAAAGTTAAACTTGTTAAATAAATAGTTATAGTAAATTAAACGTGTTGCAATATCAAAAAATAACTCAATAATCGTTTCCACATGCAATAACTACATTAGCAGTATAAATTAAATCATTATGTACCTACTAAACATACAATGAAAATATGCGGTACGAAGACCATATCAAATTATTATATACTCCAATTATAATTCCAATCAATACAAATACCTGAGAAAAAAAAACAATCAATTATTATTAACGAATAAATAAAATACCAAAACATGTACGCAAATCTGCGCCAATACACACATCTCTAATAAATGCGCATGTAAATATAATATTCCGATGAAGTCATGCTCTACGGCGACTTTATAATTTTTTGCTTAGCGATGTAAGATGAGTACATTGATCTGTATTTTAATATTTTTGCAAAGGTTTGCGACTTTAGCTTCTTGAGTGTTTTGTGTCATGGTAAATCCTGACGTCGTTTCTCGATCGAACTACCATTTGATGAGTATGGGAATCGATTAAGTATAATACAATTATGTATATGTAATACAATTTTTTTAACACCAAACAGAACTTTTTTATGGCGTTATATGAGTTGTTTAGGAATATTAGGAGGCAATCTAGTAGTTTGTCCTCCTTTGTCTTAGTGAGATTATTGTTAGAAATTTCTAAAGCCATGGGATATAGGTTGCAGAAATTGCTATTTTCACTTGAAATCATATTTATATCTATGTTTTCAAATATAAATTAAAAGCTTCATATAAGATTGTCCGATGTGGCGGCTGACCACTGAACTGGGCCAATATACCAATATCTGGCAGTATATCCAAAATAACTTCGGTATAGGTACTTTGCTACTTTCTTTGGAAATTTCAATACGTTTCTAGAATATACTCTCTACTTCTATTAGCCATTTATATGTGTCAAGTAAAATTTAGCAGCAATCAACTTCATTAAAATAATTGGTAAAGAAATTCATTTCCTGATTTTATGACTAAGTGTTCCTAGAATTGACTAAGAACCGTTAACGTCACTTACTTTATTCGCATTCCGATATTTACCGATTTGACGGCTGCAATACATTCTAATTTGTGCTAATTTCCTGGTTATGTTTGACTTTTTTGAAGTATTAGTCACCGAAAGTTCTCGAAATGTAGACTCTATGATTTATAATATCATTAACGGTGTTATGAAACCGCTTATTTAGTTTACAATTAGTTTAATAAAAATGTGACTATAATCATATAATCATTTAATTGATTTCTTCGATAGCTTACGATCGTATGGATAATACATATTTTGAATGGCACGACATCATTAAATATTAAAATTTGTACTACGCCTAAATCGACCTAGTTTTTCTATATGAATATTTTAAGAGATGCTATCTAAACATTACCTGCCTTGTTATAGTTTGTACCTTCGACATTCATACCTATCCATACTCAATCTATTACGTTGAAATTATTTTGCTAATCAAAATAGTTTTGTATTTATTCATATTTTTATGGTAATGATTAGATATAGAGTCTCTGTTGCTACTTGGTGATTAATTGTCTAGAAAAATATGGTAAATATGATTCAACTTCAGGTCATATGAGCTTGCCGTGGCTTCGTGCTACTTTGGCCATCTTGATATCAAGCAGTGGTGATATCAGTTTTCACTTTGGATTAGAGATCTCGAGATTGATATTAAATAAAAATAGCTCTCCAGGAACATTGTTGATATATTATATTATCCTGACGATTTAACTCCAGAACGCACGAACCGATTTCGACAATTCGTTGGAAAGGTCTCGGGCTCCGCAAGGTTTATAGCTAAGAAAATTAGTGGTGCATGGCATCGTGCCATTTAGAAAATCATTGTTACACGTTGCCTGCTCACGAGTTGGAAAATCATCCGCTTTTTTGTGTTAACGTCAGACCAAAAAACAAAAAATGTCGTTTACCAAAGAGCACTTCAATGAAACGGATAATTTGCGGATTCACTTTCATTTACTTAGAGAAGTTCAACTAAAAAATACTTCATTTTTGTAATCGAAATAAATTCATTACTGTAGTGCAATAAAATCAATTTTTTTCTTTTCAAATATAAAACAAACAGAAAATTTCTTCATCTTTCTCACTAAACCATCTGGTAGCGAAACGGAGTTCGTCGGGTTTGCTAGTTATATCATAAGTTTAATGGACCAAAATATAAAAATATGGTAAATGTCCAAAAAATATTGTAAACATGGTTCAACTTCTTCAAATCATATGAGCTTGCTATGGTAAGAGCTTGGACTTGCAGGCACAGGTTCCAATTTTGATAACTATGTTGGCCAGCTTGATATCAAGCAGTAGTGATATCAGTTTTCACTTTGGATTACAGATCTGAACATTGATATCAAGTAAAACTAGCTCTCCAGGAACATCGTTGTATTGTAATTATAATAAAAGTACTAACAATAAGCTGCTTTGGAATATTGATAGGAAACACTCATATGTCCATAATATTTTAAGGAAAACGTTTCAAATAACAACTTTATCACCATGAGAAGTTTTATCAAAATCCTAGGAAAGTAAATCTGAGGTTCTCTTGAGTTTAGAAATCGTATCACAACTGATGTAGATTTCAGATTCCTGTTCTAATAATAATCAATCGAAACATCTTAAAGCTTTAGATCAGTAATGTCTTGTAACATATATTAATCACTATAGTGAACCAAATAAGCTGTCTTACTACTTCTTTGACTCATCAAATAATTTATTAGTTTATTGCCAAATAAAAACTTCCAACCTACTTTAAAATTTAATTTACCATTTACAACTTGTGAACTGCTACATACCATTCCATTGATCTATTCTAACCTAAATTTCTTACTTACAGACGCTGGTCGACCCGTTCCGAGCTGATGCCGAAATGCTGCAGGATTGCTGGTTCACACCTGACAGCAGGGATATGAAACCTTCGCCAGTTGTTCTACACGACAGACTCATGACAGATGCCGCCTTGGGAACACTTCCTATCAAAAGCGAACACAGCTATAGTTTAGAATCAGATGGCGACAGTGGTCCTTCCTCTCCAGTAACCGCAGTTGATGGTAATAATAATTAGTTTTTTTACTAACATTGGCAAAATTGTTTGATGATATATTTATTTATTTATTTATAAGAAGGACGTAATTATTAATTTTTTTTTTGCTTTTATTATATTTTTAACAGTAATCAGAACCTTACGTCCTATGAGCTGTTGGGCTGAAACTTCTCCTTATTTCGTATTTTTAGATGGTAACCCAATGGTTAATCTATCCATATTTGACGATTTTTGTTACTAGAATTAATCTAATAGGGCTAACTTTTTATTGGTGCAGCAATGCCGGGCAAGGGCTATTTTCACTTGGAAACATATTGCTATCTATATTTCCAAGTGAAAATCGTTATCACTGCTGCTTGACAACAGGCTGCTCGAAGTGGGTATCGAACCCGGGACCTCTGAAACAAGTCCGGTCGCTCTTAACCGCTTACCTACGGGCGAGCCCCTTAATTATTAATAATAAAAATTATTTCATACTTTTGTCAAATGAGAATGTCAAAGAATTATGTAATTATGTGATCCTTCGAAGCATTTTTGCAATATTTAATATTAGAGCAAATTAATTTTATTATTCTGTTTTTTATAGCAATATGCAAACCATATAGAGAACTATAAAATTTGTTTTTATGCAAACGCATTCCGCAAAGAGAATAACTATTTTTTAATATTTATAGTTTAAACTATTTGTTACCATTACAGAAATAATTGCGTTTGAGTGCTCAATAAATATATGATTCAGTCATATTTGTTTGTTATGCTTTCGAAAATAGAAAAACATGTATTTACGCGAAGCAAACTATAGTAATTAAGTGCTATTGATAATTTGTGTGTCACCTTGGAAAAAACGAAAACACAAACTTATGCCCTTTCGTACTTTCGAAGTAAGAAATGTTTACGAAGTTTTGGACATGTGACATAACATAATTATTTGTTATAAATTTATTTATTTATTTTTGTAATTGACTAATTTTGTCTTTAATTTATTATCAGCGAGGTAATAAGTAATTTTTTTTCGTCAGATGATAATTGTTACAACTAGTCGAAAATAACAACAGTAAAATTTTAGATTAATTAACAGTGATTTAGAGATTGACAGAAATTAATGTAGAATGCACTTCTTTTTTGATCTGGCTCTGGTAGTGTTCTGCCTGAGTTTTTTCTTCAAGTGAGTTTGGGTGATCTTTAGGGCGGCTTTTGTTCTTGTCTGAATGAGTATGTAATTCATAATTTACTTTGATACTGACAGTGTCTTTAAGAAATATTGTATTCAAATGCCGAGATTAAAGTATTATTTATATTATTTATAGCTTCTGCTTGGCTTTGCATATCAAATGTGAATAGGCCAACACCTGGGTCGCTTCCTAAACGTAGTTAAGAAGTATTATCACTGCAGATTATGGGATTCCTAAAGTCTGATTAAATTTCGGTGAAGAAAGAAAAAAAATTCGTTTGGTTTCAATATAATAAGCTTCTCGTATTTGCCAATTACAGTGATTTTAATAATACTACTTATTTTACCTACTACATCTCCTCAATTAAGTACTGAAAACCACTTGGTTTTCGTAATTTTTTTAACAGCTTTTCTTCGATTTAGAAATCTCAATTTTCCCTGCAGTATTCTATAAAATAAGGACAACATGAGTCACTTCCAGTATTCCACAAAGCAGAATTATAGCACATAATTAAAATTACAAGATTGTCACAAGACCTGTAATATAGGTTTATCGTTTCTACCATGTACATTCGACATTGACAAGTCAACGTTATATTGACACAGATGTCAAAGGCTGATATTCATGTAATTCTTTTGTCGATTGCACTAGTTTGCATAGAGTGCGACTTGTATCGATAACGGCTCACCTGCGTCATATCGAGACGATAAAATTAAAACAAAGTAATACTTGAAATCGTTTCGCATACTTACGATAAGCTTATTGACGATTGTAAGCAAAACATGTTACATCAATCAGCTAGTTAAGTACCAGACTTACTTACATTCTTTATTTGAACAGGAATATTTTCTGCTACCTAGTTTTATTAAAAGGCAACCCAATAGCTGTTCTTTCTTTTGGAAATGGAATTTTCACTTTGCATATTTTTGATGCCTGATGTGTTGCAGCAATGCCCCGAAGAGCCATTTGGCAACACATTTGAGTCTATATTTTCAAATGATAACGGATAATACTACTGCTTGGTATCAGGTTATACATAGGGCGAGATTTCAACTCTAAGCCAAGGGGTTGCAGTATCGAAGTCTTTAACATCAGGAGCAGTACAAACGCTCCTCTTACCAACCTAAATTATGTCGTCAGTACTATTAATTTTTTTACTTTTCAAACTTCTGCATCCATACATTTTCATATATTTTTTCTGCATGCGAAAGTCGTCCATCATCTGCATTTTTTTATGCTTGATATCAGGTTGTCCATAGTTTTTCTACTTACTACTGCTTGGTATCAGGTTGTACATAGGGCGAATCCGTATACCAAGGGTTGCAATATTGAAAGCTTTACCTGAGTATTGCGAACGATCTTCTAACAATACGTTTTGTTTTTAAAACTTCCGTGTTCATAATTTTTTATACATTTTGTCTGCGTAAGTCATCTGCATTCTTCTACGTTCTAATCTTTTCAGCACTTCTAATGGGGCAGATGGCTTTTTCTGATATGGGTCCAATCCAGTTTTCTTTTCTTTTCACAATATTTATCAGTAGAGGATTTTTTGCAGTACTTATTAATTTATTGCCTTATCTGCTCAGTACCAGATTTGCTATAGGTTTTCTCGGTTTTTCTTAGCCAAATATAGCATTTATTAGGTTTATAAAATTTTAGGCGACACAATTGTTCTAACAAGTAACTTGCAAGTTATATTTAACACTGATTTATATTATAGTTACCTTGATATAATTTTTCTTAAGTCATATATATGAACTGGAAGAATATATACAAAAATTGGATAATACTGGAAGTATTATAAAAAAATTAAATTTATAATGATTCATACCTTGTATAATAAGATATCAAAATCTTTGACCTTAAAATGCATTTATTTATACAAGACAATACATACTATTTTTATCATTTTAATGAAATACATCTATTTTTTTATAAAACCATAAATAGTATGCAGCTTCAAATTTTCTTTATTAATTTTTTATCAAAGCATTGCAAAGCACTTGTGTTTAAAAACTCATCAATTATATGAGATATTTTCAATAAACGATTTCAGCTGTTGAACAAATATTTAATATAGATTAATATTGTCATTATTTTTTTCTTATTTGCTAAAATTTATAAAGTTTGAACAGGTTAAATATATAGGCCATATATTTTCAGAAAATTGATTACACAATTGTTTACTAATATCATCTGACAAATATAGTAGTCCACATATCATATAATTTTATATGAAAAATAATTTTATGTATGTATTATGTTTGCATTTATAACTCTAGAAAAATATTTTTACTATTTTGTATTTATATATAATATATAACTCTATATTTTTCAATATTTGAAGCTTTTAATAAAAATTTATTATTTAAGTATATATCGAAAATAAGGATAAAACGATGAATAATATTACACAACATTTTATTTATTTAAAATAATGACTATATTTAAATATAAAATCAATAAAAAAACAACGGACATACAGTAAATTACTAAATAAAGTTTCTTTCTTCTTCTCAAACATACTAAAACATGAGGCAGTTTGCAACATTCAGAATACAAAATCTTAAAAATTAAAACATTTCCGAAACATCGCAAAAAGTTAAAATAAAAATGTGTTAATATGAATGAAACTCACGTATTTGACACGTGTAATAGATATCATATCAATATTTGCAATATGTAACAGTATTTACAAAAAAAACATGCAAAAATAGAGAGATTTAAATATTTACATTTAAAATTTTATTAGAAATCACGTATATTTTATTGCACTATTTGCGCTTATATAATAAACGATCAGCTTTTATTCCGTATTTCACACAAAAATATTGGAATGAAATATTTTTTATTGATTTTTTGCATTTTATGATGGGTAATTGATAAGCTAAATATAACAGACATAAATATTCGATTACGGTCATAATAGATTATAAATGAAATGGTATATGTATCTATCAAGATACCTTTATATGAAAAATAGGAGTTTTGTATTTTTGCCTTATTTAGGAAATTAACTCTATATATTAATATTTTAAATAAAAAACTTCAATATCAAAATATTGTATATCTTTATGTATCAATATTTTGAGCATGTATTATAGAATGGAACAAAGTGATTCAGGCACAGTAGATATATTTTTGTTGTAAATATCAGAATTCTATTTTTTCTAGAAAATCAATTGGTCCAGACATATTTTGTTTTCTGAAGTTTTCTCATTTGCCCAATGAGGTAAAAAGAATAATTAGAAAGAAAACTTCAGGTAACAAGTCGTAGACAACTAAAGAAATGGTTTATTCGCGAAGAACGATTTTAACAATGAATTGAAAAACATGTAAATTAGGTGTCATTTTCTACGGAATGTGTCTTTAATATAAAAACAGTCACTTTTTCCAATTGATTGTACAATTTCTCAATAGAAAGATACTTATTTTCTATCAAGGAAGGCCTGTAATGATCCATGAAATGAATCATTGTACCGAATCGAGGCATCGAATTGCGACATAGTTCTTAAGATAGTTTTATGCAACACAATCATTACAAACGTGTTATTTACTATTTTTAAACTATCTACTTAATATTAAAAAAAATTGAATGGATCGTTATTAAGACCTTAGGGCAAGGGCACAAAATACTTTTATTATGGATTTTTAAACATTTTATCTGCTGCTAGCTACGTCGTAAAAGTCAAGTTGATGACTGGTAATACATCTTTTGCCCTCTACTTTCAAATATTCTTGTTAAAAAATTCTTAACTTTACTGGATTTTGAGATATCGGTGATGGACCTTCTTACCCGCGGTCCTTTAAGCCCCTTCTTGTTTTCGTGTATAATTTGATGAATAAATTTACATTTATTTGTCAAAAATGGTTGATTTTGATGGTGAATTTTATGACTAAAATCTTGGTAGGCTTTACATCAAGTCAAATAAGAAAATAAATTAAGCTTCTTCATTTTCCTATAGTATTGGACACATTTTTTCCTCATCAGTGATTATAAATAATTTGGAGAAAAATCATAAAATACATTAATTATAATAAATAAAAATTTCACTTTTGGCACTAACATTAAAATTGCTATAGTCCAGTCATTTAAGCTTAAATTAGGTAAGAATCTACGAATTCGAGATATCCACCTGTAAGTCTGTAAATACTTGTATATTGACACCCTAAAGTTGTCTCAAAACCTGCATATGGTAGGATGTCAATACCATGTGTAGGTTTTGAGACAACTTTTGGGTGTCAATATACAAGTATTTACAGATTTACAATTGGGTATCTCGAATTCCGAGGTGAACATACTATAATGACTGGACTATCAGTAATTATCAATCGATTAAATAGTGACACTGAATTATAGCTATAGTAATCTGTGATTACAAAGAAAATGTTTTTAGAAGTTATCACAATATTATATATTGTTATTATTAATTTCTTTTATTCCTCAAGATAAAATTACAATATGGTCAGTAATTTAGCAAAAACTTTAGTAATTATTAAGAGTAATGGGTATAAAGTTCGACCCAAAATAGAATTTACTCTTTTTTTTGTGCTGATAGAAGAAATATTCGTATACTAAATGACTTACATACATATTGTTTATGGTTTTTGTGTTTGTTATTACTTCTGTGCACTGAACAAAAGTCGCAGAGATAATTTGGGTGTTCGTCGATTCTTCTTTTGTAGTTGTTTGTTTTTTGTTGAATTACTTCATTTGCTGTCATCATGTTGCTGTCCTGGTGAATCAACCAATTGGGAACATACCTGGGTGCGTTCAGTGCCTGCCGTATGATCTTGTGCTGCACTCGCTGAATAATCTATAGATTGGTTTTTTTATCGGTGCCCCATAGTTGAATCCCATAAGACCACACTGGTTTGAAAATACATTTGTAAATAATTAGTTAGTTGTTTGTCGACAGTTCGGATCGTTTTATTCAATAGCCAGTAATGTGTTTTAAATAGTTCGTCAATCTGCTGGTTTTTCTTGCTAATGTGGACTCTCCAGTTCAATTTACTCAAAACATATGCAAGACTTATTTATTTATATATAAATCCGTATTTCGCATTGTGTTCCAAATCAATAATTATCTAATACTATCTTATCTCACCTTATCTCTTACTAACGGTATGTCCTATTCTATTTCTCTTCGTAGATATGGATGACGAATGTTTTGCGACGATACCGATGGAATTCGCGACGAGCCGTTGTGACGACACCGCAGCCAACTCAGATTCACCGATCACCGTAAAAGAGGAACCCTTTAGCGACGATGCGGACAGCCTTGATTCCAGCCGAGCCAATTCGCCAGACACCGAAGAAGGACCAGAGGCACAACATTTTGTACTCGATCATAATGTAAGTAGTAATCGATATAGTTTCACAATTAATCATGAATTTAATTACAATTTGTTCAGACTACTCGCACAAATAATTTTTAGATTTTTTTTAAATAAAACTTCTTTAGGCGCGACTAGGGTGTAAATCCGTACAAATGCAACGGAAGTGTGTTACGCCAAGGTCGAGTGCCAATGATGCGTCATTCGCTCTCGATGATATCATTTCTATACGAGTCGATTCTGATTGGTCGTCGTATTTGTGCGAGGCTTCTTTGTATGCGTGACTTTATATGTGCGTACGTCACCGAAAGCGTGAAGCATATTGTTCATTTTTTGGTGTTAAATGTCATTACATTTTAAGCTTAAATATTAGTATAAATCTTGAGTTAATAAAAAATGTCTGGATCGGAAGAATATTTTATCGCGTCCCCCATAAATAATTATAGTGCAAATAAACGTAAGTTCATATAAGTAATTTGTATTATTCGTGGTTACTATATATTTTTGAGGTTATTAAAATGGAAATTATTTTTATATGCAAGACAGATACTATAACTGTTCAAAGAATGAAACGCCAGCGAAAAACTAAAAAAAACAAGCTTGTTGAAAATAATACTACTTGTTATATTTTTTAAGCATGTGATTTTTAATTTTGTTATGTTTTCTTTAACAGACGGCTACAATTCAAGTCACACGCGGTCACGGCAGCAATAACAATGGAAATATAAATGTAAGTTCAGCAAACAGTAATCAAAATAGGCAGCAGAGTCTCCTGCGATCGACGACAGCCTCTTCGGTGTCCCTGTCGCCAAACTCTCGCAGTGCTGCCCTTTTCGGTGCCATAAATCCGTCTTCGATCCATTCCCGATGCCAACCTACTCCGATACAAGTCAAATTGGAAGCAGGAGTAGTCGTCACGCACAATACAAGTAAGTTATTATATACATACATACACACATCAGTTGAGTATATATGAAATTAGATTGTTAGAAACATTGAGGAGCGGAATTTTTGAAGTAAAACTTCTTTTGGACGTGACTAGGGTGTAAATCATATTCCTCTATATATAGATTATATTCTTTTTATACTATATACTTTCTTTCAACTTATCTTCTTCACATAAATCCTATTCTTCTACATAGTTCAACTAATCTTCATTCTTCCCTTTTTTATCTTCTTACTTCTTTCTACTATCTCATTTTTTTTATTTTCAATTCTAATTCAATGTTTATACATTGTAATACCTTATACATTCTAACCATTTTTTACATACATCTTACAATTGAAATTCTCATACATTTTTAATATTTTACATTTGAAAGTGCCAGGAATCGAACCAACGGCATGTGAGTCGGACATGCTACCTCTGAGCTATGTCCGCCACAAATCCGTACAAATGCAACGGAAATGCGTTACGCCAGAACTGTACGTCATTCGCTCTCGATGAAATCATTTCAATACGGGTCGATTATGATTAGTCGTCGTGCATGTGAATAGACATCTGTCGTTGTATGCGTACCGGCATCAACGTTGTATGCGTACCGATATCAACAAGGAAATCGGCATAGATAAATAAACATTTTAAAGTTACATCGTAGTACAAATCTTGATTTAATGAAAAATGCCTGAGTCAGAAGAATATTTTACCCTGTTCCTTGAAAATAATAAAACAATTGAAACATTTGTGCCGTAAACTAAACGTAAGTTTATTGATTAGAAATCATTTCTATATTATTCGTAGTTTCTATAAATCTTTGAATTTATTAAAATGGAAAACATTTTTAGGCAAGATAGATATTACAGCTGTTCAAAGAATGAGATTATACCGCCATGCATGTATGTTAATTTCAATTACATGAGTTCTTCAAACATAATTACATGATGAGTAAAGTTGCGAAAACAATATTTGTTTAGGCGTTGTTTAACATAATCCACTATGTGAACGAATATTATAGAATTTATCAATCAGCAATTACTTCATTTTTCTAATGAAGGTTTATTTCTAAATGCTAATTACAATGACAAACCGATCATATCATATTTGAAGTATGACTTTAATTACTATTGTTTTTAAATATTATACATATTTTTAATGCTATTATAAATATATAATTTATAATTTATCATTATATAAATGTGTATAATCGTTGACACTAATAAATGTGTGCATCACGAGTGTCACCATATTACTTATAACATTATTCAAAATGTTATATTATGTATTTATTTTTACTTAACTCAAATTTGCTACTTTGTACAGTAGCAAATAAGTTTTACTTCAATCGCGTGTGAACCTTACGCGCACTTTTTTTTATTAAAATGAAGGGCGCTGTAGAGAGAGGCAGTGGCGGATCCAGGGTGTTATGACCCATTTTTGAGTTTGTCTTAAGACATAGATAGAACACTAATTTAGCAATAAAATTACTTCATAATGATTTTATTTATGTATTTTGTTACCAAACACATTTCATAACTTCAATATGTAACTTATTATAGACGAACGGCGGAGTCAAACACTCCTAAAATTTAAGGATTTTCTAATCGTATTGCGAATATATTTTCTATACATAATTTAATAATGTGACTTCACCCTGGCGCCAAAGCTGGATCCGCCACTGGGGAGAGGTTGGGAACCATTGGTATAGCATCACATCAGAATTAGTATAGTATTACATTAGTACTAGTACAATTATATTTTCTGTCTATTTAATGATTTTTTTTATTTTCTAGCCTTCGGTTCACCCCCGACGCCTCCGTCCAGTACGAGTAGTGACGCGGACAGCGAAGGCAACTTATCCCCGGAACATGAAATTTTACCGCCTGCATCGACGAATACCACGACCACGACATCGAGGAGGCCCCAGCATGCCGGATCTCGCCTCTATCACCAGAATCAGTCTGCACATACGACTCGTCAGCCTATTCACACTCCCCTCATCAGCAGCCAACCGGTTAGTATATTTTTACAGTCAAGGAAATGAAATTATAATTAATTAGAAACTAGTGGGGTGCATTGCATCGTGCTGTAAGGCAAATTGCTGGAACTTCCCGTACCGTAATTAAAAATTTTGGTACGGAATCCAAAAAAAATTACACAAAATTTGTACATTATTAAAGTCTCTATAAAATATCTGATAATTTGATGTACATTTGTCCAATAAACATTTTTGACCGCCAAATGACATTTTTCTAATTTATTTTTATTGAGAGTCCATAACCGCTGGACCTGCCTTCCTAAAAATTTAGTCAGTTCTTCATCTTGTCAATACAAGTAAAATGTTTTTTGAATTATTCAAATCGGACGCTCCGTTCTCTTAAAAAACTGATTTACCGTTTTTGGCACCTTTTTTCCTGTATCTTCGGAACGGCTAGACCTGCCTTTGCCAAAAGTAATCAGGACGTTCTTCTTATCAATGCGAATCGAATGTTTTTGAATTATTCAAATCGGTTGAGGTTTTCCCGAAATCGTCGACGATAATTTGCATACACACATGCATCCATTTTTTTAATGGTATGCCAAAATATTCAGAAACCTTTGAAATGTAAAGATATATAAAAATTTTCATTTTCGATTTTTTTGCGATTACAGTACTTCTCTATTATTTGATATCACAATTAGAACTAGTGGTGCATGGCATTGTGCCTTAAGGCAAATTGCTGGAAATTCCCGTACCTTAATTAAATATTCGAAGTATAAAAATGATCTATGATCAATTCAAATTTGATCATTAATTAATAACCATTGTTTAATATTTTTGAATAATTATATAAATACTGTAAATTTCATAATTCGTATTTTATAGATCTAACATAAGTGCTTATATTGAGCGACGACCTTTATTCATGTTTACACGAAAATATACAAACAAAACCTAATCCTTGTCCTGAATCATAAAACAGTTAGAAATTAGATTGCAAAGTCAAAATTTTTTTTCAAGTATATAAGGGAACTTTAGAATTTCTGCATTTTTAAAATTTTTAGAAAAACTTGGTCGAAAAATTGTATCCTAACATACACACACATGCATCCATTTTTCTGAGGTATGCCAAAACCAATCAGAGGGTCTTTAAACCTAAAGATATGCAAACATTTTCATATTAGATTTTTTTACCATTACTATAACATGACGAATGTGTGAGTATTTGAGTCAAATTTTGAACTTTCGTGGGCATTTTCTCAAAATCGCAAATTTTTTGTTCATTTTTTTCTAAAAAAATCCTGAAGCTATTTCAAAAATTCCAATACTGAAAGTTATCATTTGGGAATCGTACTTGATATGAATCGGTCGAACTGTATAAATTGAATATAGGCCTGCCTAAATTATTATAGGCTTGCGAAAAGTAGCTAAACGACTAAAAAAGTATTTAAACCTGAAATGATGATCTAGCTAGATGATTAAAAAATTTACAACACTTAAACTATTTTTTGAATGTAAATTTTATAAAAATCCATAATCATCAATAGTTTCTAAAACTATATGTAGGTTTAACAACTCTGTATATATATAAATCTATTATTTCATATTGATTAAGTTGATTATTTACACAAATCGAGAAGTTTATGCAAATTGCCTTAAGGCAAATGCCACTTACAACTAAAATGTTTGCCTATCTGGTCTGTATTCAATACGACACGATATTGATAAGTCTTTCAGATATTAGAAGTAACGATAAAACTGTTGTAAATCTACTTTTCTCTCTTAATGCTGCTTTGATATTTTTATACTTGTGCTAAAACTTAAAATATAAAATGCTAATCTATTTCATAGTGTAATTCATTTTATTATATTTAAATATTTCATTTATTACTTAATTGAAAACAACTATCTTCAATAGAAATCATTTTTCGTTTACAGAAAGGATCAACAGGTGTTTTAATTTTGACCGAAGAAGAAAAACGAACACTTTTAGCAGAGGGCTACCCTATACCAACCAGGTTACCACTTACAAAAGCTGAAGAAAAGTCACTAAAAAAGATAAGGAGGAAAATTAAAAATAAGGTATTAAATGAATTAATAGTTTCTACAAATTATTTATTGAGAAAAGTAAAAAATTCGAATGGTTCATGCAGTTTTATATGCCTTTTGTTATTTAAAGTTAAATGTTGTACTGGAATTGGTTGTTAATGTATTTATAAGTACATTTATACATAATTTATATTCTATATTTTGTTTTATTATTATTAGATATCAGCTCAAGAAAGTCGACGCAAAAAGAAAGAATATATGGACCAGTTGGAAAGAAAAGTGGAAGTCCTTGTATCAGAAAATTGTGATTACAGAAAAAGAGTCGAGAAATTAGAAGATTCTAATGCTAATCTTATTAGTCAACTGGCGAAACTACAAGCTATAATTAGTAGACAGCACAAAAAGTAAGTCAGGATTAAATTAAATACATTATTGAAGCTTTTGTATAAGTCTTCAGAGTATTTTTGTTATAAGACGAGTATTATTGTCAGAATCGAGTGCAATAGCAATATAGCTCGCATTAAATAAATTGGATATATATATGATGCAATATATTCCAGATTTTTAAATGTTAAATAATTTATAAATTTTAGTACAGTAAGATTATATTTTAATATGACCATGTCATTTATTGGCTTAGTTAAGAATTTTAAATAATTTATTGTGAGAGAAGATTTATATGAAGATGATTTTATTCTATTTTTATAACTATTTTAATTCAATCTGCTTTTTCTTTTGTTTATGAAAGTTAAGCTGTGCATATATGCTGTAATATAATATTTTAATATATTTGATTGTACTTATAACATTCATTATTTTAGCTAATTTAAAGACGATTTCTATTTATTCATTCTGAAATAATCATTATGTATGGAACATAAATATAACACAAAAATGTACAATTATCAATGATGTGAAACCTGTACCTTTATAAATTGATTAAAAAATATATTTATTGAACCTCAATGAAGTTCTGATTACCAAGCTAACAGAATTTGATAAGTAAAATATTATAATTTTATGATATATGTGTGTTCCATATCGGCAGGAATGATTTTGATATTATTTTAGTAATAAACTAAAACTGATATTTTCTGTCTTCCGTCATTTTATTCCAATATTACATTCCAATGAAAGATTTAGTTAAATTTGCTATTTTATAAAGCTATTGAGAACTAATAAATATATTTTGTTCTTATTCAAAATGTCCAATTAAGAAGATTTTATATTAATTAAAAGTATTTATTAGAAGTTCTCTGAAGTCAATTAAAAACCTGCTACAAAGTGTAACTGCATTAGATATTCAGGAAATATTTAGTACAGATTGTTTTGATAAATAATAATGTTTTTTTACTATTCAAAAAATTTTTGATAAAAATTTATATGTGTGAATTGGCGTTTTTTTCTATTTAAATAAATAAATATTTGATTATAACTACTTCTGAAATCTAAAATTATTAACAAATTGTAATTGAATTTAGGTATTGCTTTACCATTGAATAAGCACATTTAATATCAAATTTGTTATTTTGATCTATAAGCAGTGAGAATTTCAGTCAAAGAAAACTTATTAGCCAAAATTTGTTTCAAAATTTTGATTCGTTATGTTAAATGAACCCAAGTGCAATTAGAAAAGGCCAAATTTGAAATTGTGCCTTATGGACAACTAATTTTAAGTAAATGTAAATGTAGTAATTGAAATCTGTTGTAATGTCGGTGTGAATTGTAGCGTTGTTTCTGAAGCTATACTTCATTCTAATGTAATATGTTTATGTAAATAATTAATGTTTGGCACGATACAATGTGTAAATAATTATTTATAATTACTAAGTTGATAACACCATACAACTTTGTTTTATGATTTAATATTGTACAAATTATCATTATCATGAGTATGAGGACCAAAGTACTAAAAAAGTGCTCCTACCATATAGGTATAATATACACTTAATTGTTGCAATATGCTCATTCTTAGGGATAAGAAAATATATATTTTAAAAGTGGGTTGTCTATTCTATGCTAATATTAAGCATAAATTAAAAATCATATTTGTATATGAAATTGTCAAAATTTTATTGAACGTTTTTGAATATATATATTAAATGTTTTATATTAATAATACATATATTATTAGCATTTAATATTGTAAATAATTCATATTGAAATTGTGGATAATATAAATTTTAGTATTCAATATATGTTATTTGTGTAATTAAATAAGAGATTTTATTTTGAAAGTTTCTTAAATTAAATATTTTTAAAGTAATATACTTATATATATATTTTAGCATAATAATTCATAATAAATGTTGAGAGTTAAGTTCGCATATTATCAGTGTCTCATAAAAAGCATGATCAATTACTATTAAAATGGAAGAATAGTAAAATAGTATTGTCATGACAAATAAAACATT